AGCTACACATTTGTACTGGGAGATTTCAACGGCGTCCTCAGCAGACAAGAAAACACAAGACTACTTCATGGCTATGTATCAAAAAAATAGCATGCATCAATCAATAGGCTTTCCAACAAGATATGGGAGCAATCAAAGTTCTCTTCTAGACTTGTTTTTATGCAGTGATTTCAAAAGTGTTTTTGATCATCCAAACCGCCTATTGGGCGTAGCGACCATTTAATAATTACTACGAAAGCGCATCTAAAACTTCCAAGAAAACTAACCAATAGAGTTCGTGAAAGGAATTTTTACACTGCAAAATACGATGCAATAAACAACTTCATCAGAAACCAACCCTACAACTTAAAACAGAACAGGTTCGAAAATTTCGAAAAAATGCTGAATATGGCAGTAGAGAAAAAGATTCCGTTGAAGTCCATAAAAGCAAATCAGCAGAAGCCATGGATTAACCAGTCACAACTATGGGATAAATACATACTTGAAAAAACGCAAGAAAGCTTTCAATCCTATATGATGTAGAATAATGCGCTCAAGCCAGGTGAGGCAAGAAGAACATACGAATAGTTTTAATGATATCAGATTCACCAAAGAGAATACATATTGAAATCCCTAAGTCGAAATTTGAAGTCAAAGGTGTCAAATCTATAAAAGATCCCGTAACACAGGAGATTCTAGATAACAAGTGAATGGCTGAAAGCTTGGCTCCACAGTTCAACACAGTTTTTATCCATCAAGATTTCCGCCTACCACCACACATGTACAGGTAGTATAGATTTCCCAAAAGAAAAGGTTACAGAAGAATTAATGAAGATGAAAAAAGATTCAAGTCCTGGACCAGATGAAATTCCTACTGTACTACTTCAAAATTGTAGAGAAACAGTTGGTAGTCGACTCACAGAGGTGATGAAGGAGTGCATGGAGCTTGGAAGAATTCCGGAAAAATGGAAACTTTCCATAGTAACACCTTTATACAAGAAAGGCAACAAACACAAACCAGAAAACTATCGACCCATAATTGTCACATGCAACCCATTAAAATGCATGGCAAAAATAATTGTGCAGGAGCTCACAGCATTTTTCTATGAAAATAACCTGATACCCCATCACAACACTGATTCCTTTGAAAATGATCCACTACAACGAGCCTGCTCGAATGCTTTGATGATTGGACAAAAGAGTATGATAATGGTCAGCCAACAGATATAATTTACATCGATTATGAAAGAGCCTGCAATAAAGTTCCTCATAATCTTTTGCTGAGAAAGTTGGAGCATTTTGAAGTCTGAGGACAGCTGCTCGATTGATAACCGATTTGTTACTTGAAAGGTATTATCAGGTACGAGTCATTAGTGAGTTGTCGGATAAACATCGAGGTCGTGGCCTTGTTCAGGGGTCTGTAGTAGGGCCATTGCTTGCAGCTTCAAAAAGCCCTGCAGGTTGTTGAGGGCTGGTCAAGAGCATAGGGGATGGAATAAAATGAAACCAACTGCACCTCTCTGAGGATTGGCCAAAGCAATCCAAATATTGAGTACATGCTAAATACCCAAGTTCTTTCAACAGTACCAGGGCAAAATGATCTCGGACTTACGGTGAACATCAAATCTTGAAGGGGGTGTGGGTGTGACTCAAAAATAAAAAAAATTTGAAAAAAAAAACCTAAGAATAAATTTTCAGACTGCACTAGGCTACGACCAACCGTTGCGAAGATACCGTGGTATAAAGTTCCCACTCCTAGCACTGTTTAAATAGGTCTTGTAATTTTTGCGTGTATTCATGACGTCACGCGATGAATAGACAAAACTTTATTTAGGCGTATCTACCTTATTATTTTGAGTACTTGAGTAGCGATGCGAGATTTTCACAAGAGCTCTTAGAATTTTTTTCATTATTTTTTGAATACAAGTTGTATTTTAACATTACACCTCCTTTAAATGAGAAAGTCACACAAACTAATTAGTAATAGATAATAAAACAAGAATGATACACTATAGTGCCTAAAAGTGAACAGATATAGATATTCTTAATAGAAGAAACAATAGCTTCATCGATTTTAACTGCCCGTTATAGGGACCGGTCACAAATTGAAATTCGCGACCCCTAGTGAGAGATGTGAAAAGTTTTTGTATTGATAGTTTGTCAAATTTTCACTAGAATTTCGAAAAATGGAGCTGGAAATACATTTTGGTTTCCAAAATATAAAATTTAATCACCATGAAGCTGCATACAAAAAAGGTGTGGCTCTAGTGAAAGCTAAACTTGTATTGCAAGTAGTTGAACGAGATTTTGGAGGGAACTTATCCATTTTGAAAGGGCATGTTATGCGCCAAACCTCCATAAACAGCTCTCCTTATGCTGTTGAGCTAGGTATAACAATAAAATGGACGCTACAAATCCTTGACTGTCTTTCTGGCTCCCACATTTTACTATTTTTTGAATTGGATCTTAAAACGATAAAGAGTAAAGTAACTACAGGCTTTTTTTTCCCCAAAATAGATTTTGACATCCTCAACTTTGAAACATAAACAATGCCGCTTATTGCTCGGAACATGCCATTTGCAATGATAGCAATTTCCGTTTGTCGAACCAGTGTAATTTTTTTTTATCCTTATCCTTACATGCTTTTAGAAAAAGATGCGGATAAACTTACTGCGCACTGACTGGCAAATGGAAATCACCATGATGTCAACCTGCAGGGACACCTCATTTTGCGACCAATCAGGGCCAAGAGGTATTGTTTACGTTTCAAAGTTGACAATGTCAAAATCTATTTTATGAAAAAATAGACAATAAATCAATACGAGAACTCAGTGTATAGTTCCTGTGTCTTTCCTGATCATGGGACCGACTAGGAAAACTGTAGAAGTGAACATTTCCACTTATGTTGGCATAATTATTGCCACAGTTAACAACACAATAATTTGTGAAACTGTTCCTGGGTAAAGGCATGACAAGTAGTGGGTATGCACAATAGCCTGAATAAATTAGTATATTGTTGTATTAGGAGTAGAAGCTTTACTTTTTTGTGCTGAAGCAGTAGATTTGCAATACTGCTGAAGCACAAAAAAGTGCTTCTACTCCGTATGCAACACGCTATTTTTTCTCCAAACAAATGGGGTAAGCTCGGGGGTAACTGGATGGTTAAGCGGCAGTAAAAGTACGAGCGGCACTAAAAGTACTTTTGCTGCCGCTGGGGTTGCCAAGCAGCGTAGAAATTAAATTTCTACCACCTCGACAGGTGTTAAGCTGCTGGATTTAGATAGAAATAGAAATATAAATTAAATTTCTGACATCTTGACAGAGGTTAACAAAGTGGCGTTTTTTTGTCGTTTGGAGAAAAAGATAATAAAAAGCGTTTGGCAAATAATAATTACAAGAAAAAAAGTGAAATTAAATACAATTGTTCCGTGTAAACAACCATACCTTTATAATGAAAAATATTTCGCTTTGAAATCGTTTTTAATAACAAAAATTACATTTGTGTAAATGGAATCAAGCACTTGTCATAATACAAGAACTTACATTGCTGTCGAAAGAGGGCGCTACTGTAGTTTATGGACGGACTCTATTGGTCAATAGACCTATCTCGCATGATTAGAAAAAGAGAGCTTAATTGTAATAAATACAAGTTAGAAAGCAATAAAAGATGACATGCGCGCGCAACTCGTAGGCTGCAGTGTAGCCAGATTGTATTGTTGCAGAATAAATGAAGACAATACAAATCGAATATTATAACAATAAAGAAGTGATATAGTGTCAAGTATTTTACAATGCCTTAAATCAGACAAAAGAAGAGCTTTAAAGTGGATGAATATCGTTTGCACTTTTATTTTGATAAATGTTTCGTCCGGCAACATCGCTCAATGAAATTGCAAAGGAATATGTCAAGTATAATCTTAAACGAAACTGCGGTGAGTACAAGTAATATTTAAAGAATTAGTTTGCTCTTTGTCAAATTACACGTTACAAAGAAAGAAGGAACGATTCATTCTGAACTGGCCCCTGAATAAGAATATGACGCAAGCCTGTCACAAACTTGCTTCTCATTGGACGCTCACCTGCAGCCTGAAAGCGACGCGCGCAGTCCAGGTAATAGGAGATAGGTCTATTATTACATGATTATTTTATGGACCAAAGTGCAAAATACCTTATAATAGACCCATCTCGCATAATTAGAAAAAGAGAGCTTAATTGTAATAAATACAAGTTACAAAGAAATAAAAGATGACATGCGCGCGCAACTCGTAGGCTGCAGTGTAGCCAGATTGTATTGTTGCAGAATAAATGTAGACAATATACAAATCGAATATTATAACATCAAGGAAGTGATATAGTGTCAAGTGTTTTACAATGCCTTATATCAGACAAAAGAAGAGTTTTAAAGTGGATGAACATCGTTTGCACTTTTATTTTGATAAATGTTTCCTCCGGCAACGTCGCTCAATGAAATTGCAAAGGAATATGTCAAGTATAATCTTAAACGAAACTGCGGTGAGTTCAAGTAATATGTAAAGAATTAGTTTGCTCTTTGTCAAATTACACGTTACAAAGAAAGAAGGAACAATTCATTCTGAACTGGGAACTGGCCCCTGAATAAGAATATGACGCAAGCCTGTCACAAACTTGCTTCTCATTGGACGCTCACCTGCAGCCTACAAGCGACGCGCGCAGTCCAGGTAATAGGAGATAGGTCTATTATGAGTCAATAGGGGATTTTCATATTTCTTAATTTTTTTTTTTTTTTTTAATAGTTCAAGTGATCAGATATTACATTCTTTTCTTTTTTTCCATTTTAAATTATTTTTTGTACGAATTTTTTTTTATTGAAATTCAAATTGAAAACTTGGCGCGAAAACGCGTGGTTTAGAGACGTGACGTCATGATTTTGTAAACAATAAACGCGTTCACAACAAACGTACACCTGACAGTTAGTTGATGCAGTGCCGTAGTACTGCCGTTTTTGTGTCATTCAAGTGTGTTTTTTTGTGAAAGTTGTTGCAATGAATGAATCATATTGTAAAGGACGATCTGATAATCTACCACGGATAGATTCCTTCATGGTGGTCACTTTTTTACAAAATAATCCCTGTTTTACTTCGGCAGAAATTAAAGGGGTAAAAGCTGGTAGGTAAGTTAAAAAAAGATACTATCTTATTGTCGGCTTTATCAGAAATTTAATATATCCTTAAAAAAAATGCAAAAGGATTTTGAAATAAACATATTTTAGTGTTGCAGGAGAGCAGTATGGAGATTCTGCCATTGGATACATCCAATTAAAAAGGGAAAGTTCAAAATGCATAGTAAAGTGCAAAATTTGTCCGGAGCATAAGGTACGGAATGCGGAATAAACAATATAGCGTAGAACTGGTCGTCGACGAGGAGCTAGAGCCTGTGGAGAGGAGAGTGTACAATGCATGGACTGTGCAGCTTCAGCAGGTAGTGATAACAAAATAAGAAAATAAGGTCGTCCAAATAAAACGTCAATTTTTAGGTGGCTGCAAGCATGCCATTGCTTTTTTAATGTGGCTCCATCGAGTCCATCGAAGAAGCGAAGAACCTGCCTCAACGTCTGTTAAGAATTATTGGAAGAAATCTTCTCTATCCAAAGTGGGAACAAGCCTAAAATATGTGAAGACGAACGACTTCGGGTCAAAAAAACATGAAATAGAAAATGTACAGTCACAGTTTTTTGCAAGTTTTTGTGCCCAAGCCAAAGACCAAATCTATTAAAACCCAGTTGCTTATGTTTGCTTTTGTTAAAGGTGGTGGCTCAAATAGTGATATTTTCATTGATTGGTGTAGGCAGAAAACTACCGTACGTATTGTAGAAGAAATACAAGCTGCTACTAAATCCCAATATAAAAATGAGCTGTGGTGTGAGATGCGCTACGGTAGAATAACAGCATCGAAAGCTTACGAAGCCAGTCGGTGCAAAACAGTAGATGGTAGGTACTCTAGTAGAAACTATTATTGGAGCCTACAAAACACCGGACACAATGGCAATGAAGCGGGGACGGTTGCTGGAGCCTGATGTATTGCGTAAAGGTCGTCTGAAAACCAGTATAAAACCGGCTGGGTTTTTCAAATGCCGAGACTATCCGTTCATTGGAGCATCTCCTGATGGAGTTGCGAAGGAGTTTATAGTTGAAATAAAATGTCCCACTTCCAAAAAGAACATAAAAAATTACCTCCCTAATGGTAGTAGACCTTCACCAAAATGTGAAGCGCAAATTCAGCTGCAAATGCATGCAACTGGAAAACTTAAGGGTGTTTTTTGTGTAGCAGATGCCGATTTTGAAAAAAATCAGAAGCTTGATGTAATTTGGATAGATTATGATGCTGATTACATTAAGCAACTGATTGCGGGCTTAGAAGAATTTTGGAAATTATATATTTTCCCGATATTACTTCGTAGCGTTGAAATATGAATAACCGTACATGATATTGATGATTATATGAGAATTTTAATGAAATCGCTACCTGTTCTAAAAATTATTATTAAGTACTAACATTAATTAAAAAACAAAAACTAAGGATATTATCAATACAATAACACCCCAGCGATAAAAAGAGTACTTTGAAGAATTACTGACAGAACGACGGGTAGAGTTTAAAGAAGAAAAGGACAGACACGAAACATAAAAACTGCAGAATTACCAATAAAAGTTATGCAAGGAGAAGTTAAAAAACACTGTAGCTTTTTGAAAAATGGTAGGGAATCAGGCCCAGGAGAGACATATGGAGAACTGATAAAATATGGGACCAATGAACTCTAGAAACATTTAACAAACAAAACTATTTCAAACATGCATAGATAAACATGAAATACCGGAAGAGTGAAAAAAGGGCTAACAACGATATATAAGAAATGAGTCATGCTTTCAGGCGTAGGCCAATATATGAAAGGTCCAGATGTTGAGCAATAATGGGTACATTATTGCTGAATATCCTACTTGCTTGCGGTAAACTTAACCCAAAGTCATCTGCCAGCTCTTGGAAAGTATTATTTAGTCTAATTTTTTTCAACACTAATAATATATTATTTACATTCATACCTGATTCTTTACTTAAAAGGTCTATCATAAAGTAACACTCTTCAGGTACTCCAATATAAAAACGTGGATTTTTTTTAATAATTTTAAGAGTTCTCGATAAGGACGTTTCCTGAAGTGACTCCTTTGCGACGCTATCACTATCACTTGCCAATGAAAAAAAAACTGTCAGGTTCATAAAATTCGAATGAAGATCCCGATTTAAAAGAAAATTCACTACCTGATTCGCTTTTTGACAACGAGAATAACTGTCAAGCATGTGATATATTTAAACTTTTATTTGTGGGCAAAGGAGGTGACTTGAATTGAGACGAAGGACTGTTCCTTGTTGATGGTGCTATAGGCACTCTTAGGAGTGTAGTTGACACACCAACTGTAGAAGTAGAAGGCACGACTTGAACGCCTTTACTTCGAAAATGTGGTTTGATATTAACCTGGGCAGCAACGTTAACTAATGAAGGCCTCCAAGATGTTGATGTGCCAGCGGTTTCTTCCACATTCTCAACCTCAACCTCATTCTCGGCCTCATCTAACTTATTACTTGCGGCAGCTGATGGCTTTTGAGTTTCCAGCCGTTGTCGGTTTGTCGGTGCTGTTCGTATAAAGTCCAACAAATACCATTTTAAAGTCACGTGATTTTTCTCTATCCTTGTTGAATACATCTTAAACAGCGGTGATAGTAAAATTCTATGGTAAAATCAATGAACTATAACCAAAAACTGGAATGCGAACACATATTGACGAACGTGAAGCCTAGTGCCGCTGCTGCGGAGGGGATACCTGTTTTTGTCGCACTCATTATGTTAAATGGCGGAAATTGCTTCCAACACGTATTCCAATTGATGAAACCTGTGAAGGTAAATATGACAAAACTTTCCAAAACGTGATATGTCAGCGAGCAACAGAAAAAAACAACATTCCCCTTTGTGGCATCTGTCTTTCATGGCTACATTTTTTTGGCAGATATGGCAATGTGTGCGCATTCCAGTTTTTGACTATAGTTCATTGGGTAAAATTGACAACAAAATTGGTGTCTAATTATTGTTCATAATTTGTTCATAATATTCTTACCTGAAATAGAATCCGTCACTGTCATCAATTAGTTTGTCAAAGTTATTTTCGAAAATGATACAACGAACAAACACAGCTAATAATTTTGACCATATTAACCTTTTTCCAACTCGAAAAGAAGCAAATAGAAAACAAGTACCCAATTCAAGTTCAGAATGTATTACAACTGACAGGCGACAAAAGTGAGTCTCGCAACAACTGCAATTAATAAAATTCCCATCAGATTGGTCAATACTACTTCAGAAACGCGTTTGTAAAATGCTAGTGGAAACATATCCTAAAATTCAATAGTAATTAACCACCAGTAGCTTTTTGTAGGTGATATCAACGACATAATCAATGGACATAAGGTTCGTTTCACCAGGGTTCATACTTGACCTTGAAACTTGAAAAAAAAGGATTGTCGTAGATTAATTCATATGACACATTCAATTTTTTTGACAAATTAAAATGAATGACGTCTGGTTAAGAACCGACGAACGTTTTTGACGTCATTGATTTGTTTCAGTCAATTTTTATTTGTTAAACAAGGAAGGCAAATGCTGGTGGCAAGTACAAACCCTGGCGAAACAAACTTTACGTTTTTTGCCACCAATATCACGTGACTTTAAAATAGTATTTGTCGGACTTTAGATGCAGTTCAATGTGATCGTTTTCTGTTTTTTTTTTTTGGCAGTCAAACCGATGGGGCACTATATGCTTTTTCATTCTTTTCTGTGTTGACTTACCCATTATAACAAATTGAATCCAATTCTCCATATCATTCGGAAGATCGAAATGGTCTTAGCAACAAAAAGTACACTTCGAGAAGAAACATCTGAGAGTCTTCTAGCAGCGCTCAACCACAACTTTCTTGTCTTGGGGTCCTTTGGGACGTTTATAAAGATTTAACGTTAGTTTTTATGGAAGTGTTGGTACATCCAGGCTGTGATACTTATATGGTTTTTTAGCTCCACAAAAATAATAGGTACACTAAACACAGTACGTCATTGCATTGACACTTTTTGACAGGTTCATTTTTGTTTACAAAGTCGTGACGTCAAAGAAGGTAGACATCACAGATTAACCCGTCCTAAAGATAGGAAACTTCCATGTAAAATGTTCGTTCGGAGCTGTCTCGAAAATAACACGTGTGGAGCTTCATGACTGCCAAAGCTATGCGGCGCTAGTATACAAAGCCACAATCAAATGTCATCTGTGAACTGTGAATGGTGAATATAATTTGTCAATGTGTTTGTCATCAGTTAGCCGTTTGATCTGTGTTAGTGTTCTTTTATTTAATTTCCTATCAATTTTTGATAAAACTTTGACTTGTTAATCTGTTTTTAAAAAAAGAGACTTTATGTTACATTCAAACATAGTAGAAATGCTCGTGGAAAAGGGAATAGTGATAGTTTTTTTCTCCAAACGTCACTTTGTCAGCACCTGTCAAGATGTTAGAAATTTAATTTCTATGCTGGTAGGCAAATCCAGCGGGTTAACACCTGTCGAGGTGGTAGAAATTTAATTTTTCTCCAAACGTCAAAAAAACGTCACTTTGTTAGCACCTGTCAAGATGTTAGAAATTTAATTTCTATGCTGGTAGACAAATCCAGCGGGTTAACACCTGTCGAGGTGGTAGAAATTTAATTTCTATGCTGCTAGGCAACCGCAGCGGCAGTAGAAGTACTTTTAACTAAAAGTACTTTTACTGCCGCTTGACCATTCAGTTGCGCCCGAGCTTACCCATTCGTTTGGAGAAAAAATAGCGTGTTGCATACGGAGTAGAAGCACTTTTTTGTACTTCAGCAGTATTGCAAGCCTCACTACGTTCGGCTCGCAAACCTACTGCTTCAGCCCAAAAAAGTAAAGCTTCTACTCCTTATACAACAATATACTATTATTCGCCATTGTTTGACATTCACATGAAGTGTGTTTTGTGCACAAAATTCTAAAAAATATACCTTCATTTATAGCATAGGTATTACTGCAGTGGAAGCTTCTGAAGTCATGCCATCACAACTTTATCCTCAGAGACTTTGCTGAGTGTGGAATTAGTGAATTTTATTTGCAGTATTATAAACTTTTTATTGTTTTTTTTTTCAATACGTTTTTCTATTATTGTTGACATTGTTGTGTTTAAGGCTCTAAGGTTCTAATAAAGAAGGAGATGTTACTGAAAGTTTGTTGTTTTATTTCAAAAAAAATTACACATAATAATAAAATAAAATCGATTAGGGTCAAATTATTTGAAAAAAGGCGGGAGACCACTACAACACTGAACACACTGAAGCGCACACTAGCGCCCCATGCTGTGGCAGTCATACAACTCGTTGTATGAGTAAGACAAGGATAGGGGAAAAGGCACCAGTTTCCTATGTTTAGGACGGGTTAATCTGTGGTAGACATCATGGAATTATTGTTTTGGCGGGAAATCTTTTATTTCAAATTTAGTATTATTTTTTGTGTAACAAGGGCTGTATCAGTTAAATAAAAACTGGTCATATAATTATTGTGCAATAAAAACTATCGATTTGAAACAAATTTGAAATTTTTTATTTTACTTGCAAGTTCCCTATTGTCATTAACTATTTTTGTAAATTTATGCAGTTTAATTATTTCCAGCTAATCCTATGGTTTCTGGAATTGAACAACAGGCCTCCACAAATAACTTATTAGATTTTAACGAACTACTTGATGAAGATATTGATAGTCAGCGTTCGGCAACATTGTCTGATGACTCCTGCTTGGATACTTCTTCTGTGCCGAATACCCAATCATCTAGTTTGAATACACCTTCAATTGGTAAAATCGAACCCAAATTTCCAATTGCATAAATTTGTATGGAGTAATGTATATGATACATAGTATTTCCAAATTAAAGACATTTGTCTAGGACTATTTAAAAAACTACTGAAAATATATGTTTATTATTTTTTTATTTTTGTGTTTTTTATTTCCTTACAATATACATAATAGGATGAAACCCATAAAATAAAACAAACATTTTATGTAAGGTGAAATATATTTTTTTTTTAAATAAACCTACTAATTAACAAAAAAAAAACTGTTGCCATTTTTAAAAACAAAAGTTCAAAATTCAAACATCACATAATAACTCGGAATACAATTAATTTTCTTACGTGGTTAAGATTTTCTTAAAGCCTAACAGTTGATGTCCCTTTGTTCCTAAAAATCTGCTATTTTACTTCATTTATACACATTTATCCATAATGGGAGTTAATAAATAAAGAAATATTTTAAAAAAACATATCTAAGAAGAATAAGACTAAGTATCAAGAATTTTATTGATATTTTATATTACAAATCTTATGAAGTTTAGGATATGAACCTTGAAATAATAATAATAGACTATACATGTAGACGGATATTTCACTAAATAGATTATTAATTAATTTATAATAAGTTTTCGTAGCAAACTTGCGCTACTGTACAAAAAAAAAAATATGTAAATTATATGTTGAGAGTTTGACCACCTAAACCTGAAAAAAAAAAAAAGAATTGATAAATTTTCATACTGTCAATTTCATAAAGTTAGTACTTTTCAAGAAATAATAATAAAAATAATTGAATTTTCAATCAAATGTTAGCGGCAGTTAATCATAATATGTGATTTATATTTTGATATGCTATAAAATTACCCAAATTTTTGCAAACAGAAAAGATCAAATTACTGAAGCTGAAAACAGGGTGTCTGTTTTTTGAGGTCAACCATTGAGATCTCGGAAACGGTAAGAGGTAGGAGATCGCTTAAATTAGGGCATCAGAGTTGTGTAATTTGATGCACAATGAAACGCCGTTTTGCTGTTTGATAAATATGATTAAAATTTTTGGAGAAATTCGGAAAAAACCAAAATTTCACAAAAGCGATTTTATTTTTTTCTGAACTTATTTGAGGAGCTTTTTTAAAACAAAAGGTACTTCCATCCTTCATCATTGTTTCGTCTCAGAGCGCCCATCATCAATTTTATTATTTCAAATACGGCCCGCATTTTTGAATACAGAAGAACTCCGATTATCCGAGTCGCAATTATCCGAACTCTGGATTAATCGAACCAGTCTGAAGACTCAAAAACCCCGATTATCCGAGGTATGCTAGTCCATACTCTGTATTATTAACCTATGGTATATTAACCTAGTTTCTAAAATATACATACATATACGTACACCCTGTACGTCCCATTTAAGATGATATTGGGGGTTATCTGCTATACTCGTAGAGGTAGATTTCTTTGATTACACATTCCTGGGCCAATTTTTTATGACAGATCGAATGCCGCAAGTCTCTATCTTGTACCGCTTCGGAGATACAGGGTGAAGCTTGAAATTTTCACTTTTCGCGGGTAATCATTATCTCGCGTAAGAAAAAAGATATCAGAAAGATGAAAATTGTTTCTGACGCAGTTTTTTACGTAGATTTCATTGGCGTACCGCAATTTTTTTTTTTCGAAGTACCGTTTAGGAGATATGACACAAACTTCATCTTTTTTAAATAGGATAATTTTTTACATTTTTAGAATACGCATAAAATTACCTTTCCAATGATATATAATTTGTCTATATTCTTTTGTAATTTGCCAATATTATTATGGTATTTTAAACTTTCCATAAGAAATCACTCTTGCAAATCACATTGATTATTTGGTTTTATTTTCTGGTGTGAAAAACTTATAATTTTTTGATATGGGACACCCTGTAAAATAATAGTTTATTGAATCATGTTTTTTTTCCCATTTTAACGATATAGGTATTACACTTTGTAGTTATACCTCTGCATTAACGTCAAGAAGAATTAGTTTCTGATTCCAAAGAAAATTGATGTCATTTGGGATTAACCGGTACCTACCTACAGCAAATATCATAAAAGAAATAATCAAATATCTCACTAATGCTCGGTAACTGAATTTAATAGTTTAACGCCCGGTTTATTCTTCTGATATACTGTCAGGTAATGTAATATGACGGACATCTACCCTGTTGCCTGGTTTGGTTTCTTTTAAGTTGCTTGAAATGTGCGGAGGGCCTTACCAGTAAGTTTATCTAAAGATTAATAAACCGGGCCTTAGACTAATAAATTCAGTTATCGACCATTGCTAAAGGCCGTTTTACAGCTTGCAATTCTATCTGCAATATGCAAGAAACTTTAACGAACGCATGCGCAGAAGTGAATCAGCTGATTGTTTTCTGCAACATTCTGGAAACTAGAATGGCATTGCATGCAATCGGTTTGGTACCATTTTTCTTGCAGGTTTTCGTGCAAGCTGGGGAATTTTTAGAAATTATAATGCTTAAAGTTGCTGCTATTGCTTTTGTCTTTTTATATCGACTTATAATCACTATTTTCATTTTTGGAAAATGCAAACATCAACAACACGAAATTAAAAACAAGAAAGTATGGTTAAGGTTAGAGAAGGAAACAAGTCAAATTGCAAGGTGTAAAACGACGTGCAAGAAATCTTGAATGCAATTTTTTTGCATGCAAAAAATTGCTTTCAAGTTTTCTTGCAAGCTGTAAAACGGCCTTAAGATTTTCAATTATTGCTTTTATGATATCTGCTGTACCGGATAATCCAAAATAACATCAGATTTTCCTTGCAATCAAAAACTATTTTTTCTTGACGTTAAAGTAGAGGTGTAACTATAAAGTGTAATAACTATATCATTGAAATGGGAAAAATATAAGATTAAGGACCGGTTTATCCTTCTGATAAACTGTCAGGTATAGTATGCAGTCTGACGGATAAAAACGCAGTCTGTAATCCCATTGGTCGGTGAGTTATCCGACAACCAATAGGATTAAAGATCGGTGAATTTATCTTGCAGATATTTACTAGTAAGTTTATCGGAAGATGAATAAATCGGGCCTTAGGACCAAATTATGGACCGACTGGTAACGTTATTGGCACCTTTATCCTGCTGGTAAAGCTAAAAATTGCATTCAATTTTTAGTTTTACAGTGGGTCCATGATTTGTCTCTTATTCAGATAAGCTTGCTGGTAACTTGATTGAGTGCAATGATAGGAAATCCCTGCAAAAACTGCAAAACAAGGCGGTCGCTGAACTTTCTGATAACTATACAATAGAAATTCCAAAAATAGGAAATCCCAAGTTAATTATTGTTGGTATACAGGAAGCATATTAAATACAGAGGAGGACTTTATTCAGAGAGTAAAAAACCAAATATGCCTTTTAGTTGGGGAGCTGGCGTCAAAAACATGCAAGAGTTTTCGCAAGGCGGATATTTTCAAAATAGGTCGTACTTTAGTGTTAGAATGCTAGTGTACAGTCAGCACTCACAGTTCCGGGACAGCTGGCTCTGGGACGCGGGCAAAGTTGTAATTTTAAGAAGCATCTAAACTGTTTTCTCAAAGCTCAAAATTTATAGAAATTTTGCACATTATTTGTTTGAAGGTCACAGATAACGTATGTAAATCGTCAGACGTCTAGTTCGTTGCAAAAAGGGGGTCAGACGTCCTCAAAGTTTTTATTTTATGGCATATGGGATATACGTTGAGAGAGCTGAAATTATTTTTCAAAATAACGCCCTAGGGAATTATTTCGTATTTAACTGACTTTGACATAATGTCATTATTTCTCGAATAATATACCAGTCGGACATTAAAAAGATTTTATTTACAAGAGAAATTTAAGTGGTGATACCATTTCTAACTTAGTGGTAGAATTGATAGGAGCGAACTGGGAATTACACCTCTATAGATGTGAACGTTATTTATTCGGATTTTATAAATATTATGCAAAGGGCAGTGAATACAATAGTTCCAAGACAAAAGCATAAAATCGTTACAAAATATCCATGGATTACAGGGACAGTTAAAGAGGCGCAAAGGAATAGAGACAGAGCATATGCAAAGTTTATTTTGACAAGAAATGACGAAGATTGGAGAGAATATCAAACCAAGCGTAACAGAGTTACTTCGGTATTACGCACTGAAAAAACAAAGCACTATGATCAGAATATAGACAGGTGCAAAGGAGATGGGAAAAAGATGTGGAGAACACTAAAGGAACTAGTAGGAAATAATAAAGGACAGACGGATTTCACTAATATTGACTACGGAAAGTATAATGGGCCAATAGAGGAAAACTTTAATAATTTTTACGCTGATAGCATAGGAGAGATTTCAGATAGTATAGAAATAATGAATTGGGATTCTAATTTAGATGAAAATGATGGATATAGCATTGCTAATTTTAAACTGCTTAACTTGTCGCAGCTTAAAAAAACTGGGTATGGTCTTAAAAATAAAAGTTCCAGTGATGAATCGCTAAGTATCAAATTGGTAAAGGACCTCTTCTTTATATTGTAAATGCCTCTCTACGAACAGGAAGAATACCCGGGGAATTGAAAACTAGTGTTATAGTTCCCATACCTAAGGTTTCCAAACCAAAGGTCCCAGCCGAATTTAGGCCAATCAACTTACTGCCTGTAGTGGATAAAATTATTGAAACAATTGTTTGTCAACAATTGAGACATTATTTTGAGAGTAACCAGTTATTGTTTGTGGGGCAGTCTGGATTCAGGAGCAACCATTCGTGTGAATCGGCTCCTCAGTATGTATGTGCAACATGGCGAAAGGAGATAAATGAAGAGAAAGTGGTACTCAGCGTGTTTGTAGATTTGCAGCGGGTGTTTGAAACAATCGATCGAGATATACTTATAAAAAAGTTAGAATTATATGGTACTAGCTGACCCGGCGAACTTCGTACCCCCTCTGAATTATTAAATATCTCTGAGTTAAATACCTATTAAATAAATGTTGTGTTAACGTATGTGATAAATGAAGAACCGCTCGACCGATTTTGTGCAAACTTCACATAAACCATCTAATAAATAGTCCGAACAAAGCCTAAACATTTGGTTTGGCTAGGTGAGCCCGTTCTTGAATTATAAAATTACAACGAAAAGTGGCATTAATTTTTATATAAGGTACCTGACCCAAAAAAGGCCATGTACCTAATAAAGCCAGTGCCCTTTATTGCTAAATATTGAATCCCATTTTCAAAAATAACAATATTATTAAAAAAAGAAATCTATAATGCAAATCAAAAATTATTGCAAGGGTTCCTAGCAACTCGTCATATGTCGAAAAAAGGCCAACCACATATTTCATATGTCACGTTATAACTTTGAGGCTGGAACTCAATTAACTTATATACGTGTTAATAAAGTGAATGGAGCGATTGTAATTTTTTAACGGGCATTTATGTATTGAGAAAGCTACAGAGTAAGTACAGAAAATATCTTTGTTAGATTTCTAGTTACAGACTTTTTTCTATCGATTTAACATATTCCTAATAAGGCCATCATACGAAAAATGTTCAATTGACCACCCATTTCGGTGTTTATTCAAAAGAATGTGTCTTATATTATTACCTAAGTGATGTGTTATAGAACGCCTGGAGTGTAACCAAGCAAGAGAAGCTGCGGTTCATTTGTCCTAGTTGTATGTAGACCCATTTGGA